TATGTGACGTCACAGCTCACTTGCCGTGCAAAATTGGATGCATTATTGAACCACAGCAATAATTTTATTTTCTATTAAAATTATTTTCTTGCTGTGGGTTTCACACCTGATGATGATTGCTTGTGGTGTTGCAATCGAAACGTCGTGAGAATTGTATTGTTTTATATTTATATTATTTTATTATTTCCCTTCTACGCGACTTTACCGAAAGAACCAAGAATATGAATCCCTGCAGTCACGAAAGCTTTAAATCAAAACGTAGACAGTGAGTTCATAGAAAGTGTGTGACAATAATAATCAAAAAGCCACCTCCCCCCCTCCCCCCTCGCTTTGTGCGGGTTCGCTTTGTGCGGGTTCACTTTGTGCGATGTCGACCATCAAATTCGCTCTCTGCGCGGGTAGAATGTCACGCTGCCACGTGCTGATATGCGGTCAGAGGTGGGATAACCCTGTGTGTGTGTGTTGTGTGTGTGGTGTGTGTGTGTGGTGTGTGTGTGGTGTGTGAGTGTTGTGTGTGTGTTGTGTGTGTGTTATGTGTGTGTTGTATGTGTGTGTTATGTGTGTGTGTGCCTTGTATGTGTGTGTGAGTGTTATGTGTGTGTGTGCCTGTTATGTGTGTGTGAGTGTTATGTGTGTGTGTGTGTGTGCCTGTTATGTGTGTGTTGTGTGTGCGTGTTGTGTGTGCTTCTCGGCAGGCAGCTGTCCTACACACACACAGATACATACACACGGAGATACACACAGAAACAAAGGTACACAGATACGTACACACACACACATATGTAGAGAGATCATACTGAGACATTCAAACGCAGGTTTTACACCCTCGATTAAGGGACAGCACACACACAACGGTCGGGATCGAACCCACGACTTCCTGCATACCAGGCGAGGTAGTCAACATCTCCTAGCCACCGTGATGATGATAAGAGAGAGAGCGAGACACACAAACTCCAAATATACAGCAGCAGGCGTCAGGGTCAGGATCGAACCCACGACCTTCTGTGTACCAGGCGAGGTAGTTAACATCTCCTAGCCACCGTGATGATGATGATGATGATGAGAGACACACAAACTCCAACTATACAGCAGCAGGCATCGGGAAAGAACCCACGACCTCCTGGATCTCGGCAGCTATGAACCCTTGAGGAAGATGCACAAAGACACAATCCCCGTATAGCCTCAGCAGACTGTTGGGGCAAGTGCAGTAAGCGACTCGCACCTACGAAGGCCGGCAATGTGGCACACGAGGGGGTGGGTGGCCAACACCACGCACGGCCGCCTTTGTCTCCCCCAGTAATCGATGTTTACTACACAACGCACCAGGTACTCGTTTTAGGTTGAGTCGACCTAGGGGAGGACGCCCAGGGCCGGTTCAGATAATCTCGGGTCGCCGCGTTCGTAACGCAGAGCTACCCGCTACTACACCACCACTCCCCACACACACAGACACACACACAACACACACAACACAACACACAGACACACACACCACACACAACACCACACACACACCACACACACCACCACCACTCCCCACACACACACAGACACACACACAGACACACACACACACAACACACACACAGACACACACAGAACACACAGACACACACACATAGACACACACAGACACACACAGACACACACACAGACACACACAGTCACATACACACACATACACACACAGACACACACACACACAGACACACACAAACACACACAATCACACACACACGGACACACACACAGACACACACACACAGTCACACACACATACACACACAGACACACACACAGAAACACACAGACAAACACACAGACACACACACAACACACAAACACACACAGACACACACACAACACGCACCATACACACAGACACACTCACTACACACACAACACACGCACACACCACACACACAGACAAACACACAACACACACAGACACACACAGTCACATACACACACATACACACACAGACACACACAGACACACACACAGACACACACACAGACACACACACAAACACACACAGTCACAGACACACACACAGACACACAGATACACACACACAGACACACAGAAACACACAGACAAACACACAGACACACACACAACACACAAACACACACAGACACACACACAACACGCACCACACACACAGACACACACACTCACTACACACACAACACACGCACACACCACACACACAGACAAACACACAACACACACAGACACACACACCGCACACACACAACACACACAACACCACACATAACACACACAACACACACATAACACACACTCCAAACACACACACCACACACACATAACACACACCACACACACCACACATACACACACCACACACACACCACACAGACCACACACACACACCACACACAACACATAACACACACAACACACACATAACACACACCAACACACAACACACCACTCACACACACAACACACACAGCACGCACACACAACAGACACAACACCACACAACACACACCACACAACACACACACACCACAAACACACAACAACACACACACAGCACGCACACACACCACTCACACACCACACACACAGAACACACACATAACACACACACAACACTCACACACCAACACGCACCAACACGCACCAACACGCAACACACACAACACACACAACACACACCACAAACACACACCAACACACACACCACACTCACACAACACTCACACAACACACACACACACACAACACACACACACACCACACACACATAACACACACACAACACTCACACACCAACACACACAACACACCACTCACACACACACACAACACACACCACACACATACACACACAACCACCACACACACACACCACACACACACACCACACACACACACAACACAAACACCACACACAACGCACACACACACAACACACACACCAACACACACCACACACACAACACACACACACCACAAACACACACCACACACGCACACACCACACTCACATAACACACACACCAACACACACCACACACACAACACACACCACACACATACCACTCACACACACACACCACTCACACACACACCACACACTCACATAACACACACACAACACTCACAACACGGGCCAGGCCACGTGTATGAGCAGGCGCTCTGCTCGAGGGCGCCCTTCTTGACCAGAGTGCTCGTGGCCGAGTGGGCTCAAGGAGCAACTTCATCCCATTGTGCACTGGCGTTCGTGTCCTGTGTGGGCTGAGTGTGACCAGGGGGTTACACTTGAACACAGCACTCTTAGCCTCGCATCACACCGCTGTAAACCCTCCACCCCCCTCCCCCCCACAGGGTTAGACTCCCGTCCCAGGCTTAAGGGTCGCCACGGTGGCCAGGAGATGTTAACTACCTCGCCTGGTATACAGGGGGTCGTGGGTTCGATCCCGACCCTGATGCCTTTGTATTTGGAGTTTGCGTGTCTATCTCTCTCATCATTATCACGGTGGATAGGAGATGTTAACTACCTCGCCTGGTGTGCAGGAGGTCGTAAGTTAGATCCCGACCCTGATGCCTTCTGTCTATTTGGAGTTTGCCTGTATCTCTCTCATCATTATCAGGGTGGCGAGATGTTGACTACCTTGCCTGGTATACAGGAGGACGTGGGTTCGATCCCGACGCCTGCTGCTGTATATTTGTAGTTTGCGTGTGTCTCTCTCTCTCTTCCCGTAGTCGCGTTGATTTTTTTCTCCGGGTCCTCCAGTTTCCCCCCTCCACATTTGGAAACACGCGTTTAGACTCTTTAGGTTATTTTGCTGCGATAAAAGTCCAAATGATGGAGCCACTTTGTTGACCTATCATGTGTGGCCAGCTTGTTTAACAATATAAGTTAACACCTCAGAGGGGCTTTGCCTGGTAGGATGTGGCTGGTTTCGTGTTGTGTTTGTTTGTGTTTGGGTGATTTCGATTTAAAGCTTTCGTGACTGCAGGGATTCATCTTCTTGGTTCTTTCGGTAAAGTCACGTAGAAGGGAAATAATAAAATAATAAAAATAAAACATAATAAAATAATATAATTCTCACGACGTTTCAGCCACAACACAAGCAGCCGTCCTCAGGTGAAGAATGAGACACTGCCAAGCTAGGAGCTTATATATAACCTGCGTTGGAGGTGGAAGAGCGCCTTAACAAAAAGAATGTGCATATGAAGAGGAATTTAGCATATTCATGAAGACGGCTGCTTGCGTTGTAGCCGAAACGTCGTGAGAATTATTTTATTTTATTATGTTTTATTTTTATTATTTTATTACTTCCCTTCTACGTGACTTTACCGAAAGAAACAAGAAGATTTGCGTGATTTGTTCACCTTTCTTGTGCTTTGCACTGCTGTCGAGTTTGTGTTTTGTGTTCTTACCCCGTGCCCCGACTGGACATCTGTGGAAAAAAGAGCTTTATCGCTCATCAGATTCCTCCCGTAGTCTAGCGATGAAAGCCGGCACTGGCACACGAGGGGGGTGAGTTGCCAGCACCACGCCCGGCCGCCTTTGTCTCCCCAGTGACAATGTTTGCACAGCGGACCAGGTATTAATTTGAGGCTGAGTCGACCTAGAGGAGGCCCAGGACCGGTTCAGATAATCGTCACCGGTGTTGGTGGCCGTGAGCGGGAATGGAAGCCGGGTCGCAGGGTTCGTAGCGCAGCGTAGCGCTAACCGCTGCACCACCGCTCCCCACTACCGCTCTGCCACAACAACAACATCAACAACATCAGCGGCATCAGCGGCATCAGCAGCGGCCTGAACCGAACGACCGTGAACGACGAACGGTCGACAGAGGAGGAGTCGCGCACCGCACGGGGGTGGGGGGCGCAGGGAAGGAAATCGACGACAAGAGGGGGAGTGCGAGTCCAATGATCGACAGCATCGAGGTCGTTTTAAGTCGCATTGTATAAAAGAAGATAACTTATCGTTTATTGTGAAATGCCACGGGGGGGGGGGGGGGCGGGGGGGGGTCTGTCCGGCGACATTGCCGTCGGTGTCGCCGTTACACGCTGTGCCAGTGGAACGGTGATGACACGGGTGGCTACGTACAAAATAGAAAAACACGCACACACGCACACCTCTACAAATGATATGTTCAAGTAATTCACGGACGAGTTATCCGGTTCCGCACGCAGCAGCGGGGCGCGGAGTTCTCCGCCATGGAGGGCGACGTTCCTGTCGTGACGGCCAAAGCACGATGTTCAATCCTTCGAGCCAAATGTGCGCAGCAGCAAGTTTCACGCGATGGGTTGCTGCTTGCTCGCTGCGCCTTTGTCTTTCTTTCTTTCGCGTGGCTGTTGGTGACCGGGCTGAGCCCATCACCTCGCCGCACTTGAAAACCCCGGGGGGGTTTAAACGCAGGCAGCAGCGGCGGCGGCGGCGATGAAACTCCGACGCGAATCCCAGGATCTCCCCGTGGTGCCGGCTTAACAACTCTGACCTCTCGACCCGCCCGGCCGACCTCCGGCTCGCCCCGGCCTCTCATCACCCACCACCGCATTCTCGTCGCCCCCCTTTCCCTCGACGCGTCCGCAAGATTTCCCCTCGCCGGCCGACGGCGCTCAAAGAAAAATATCGAAGTCCGCGTCCGAGTCCTGCGACTCTGCGTCCGCGTCCCCTCCGTCCTCCGGCGGAGGTTCCGGTTCGACTCGCTCCGACGGGGCCGCGCACGCGGTCGCGGCGTCCCTCCGCTCCTCCCCCTCGGCCGGATCGCCGATTCCGTCGGGCGGCAGCCGGGCCAGCCCCTCCGATCCCGCGCGATCCGCCTCGGGGCTCGACGATCCCCGTTTCCCGGGGACGTCCACGAGAGTCGATCGGTGGAACGTTCCGGCGGCATCGGTGGGCGTGAGCGCACGACACGACGACAGGTCCTGGTAGTGGTCCACGTCGCGGATCTGCTCGGGGCGGTTCTTGCCGTTCCTGTCGCTGTAGAAGACGCCCTCCTCGGCTACGCTCCACTGCACCTTGGGGGGGAGGGGAGTTCCCCCGGCAGGGTTAAAGGGGTCGGCCGGCGAGCGCTTCATCTGTCTCGCAAGACGCGCGTCGCGAGACGCAGAAGCGGCGGGGAGGGGGGGGGTTCGTGGTCGTGTTGTCTAAATGTGACCTCAGCGGCTCAAGACGCTGTACAGATACTCTAACCCGTAGACTCTCGCCCAAGCAGAGACCCGGAGACTCGCATAGAGACCTATAGACTCACGCATAAACCCGTAGACTGACAGAGATCTATAAACCCACACGGAGACCCATAGACTCGCGGCCACGCAGAGACCCGTAGACTCACATAGAGACCTATAGACCCACACGGAAACCCATAGACTGACATAGTAACCTATAAACCCACATGGAGACCCGTAGACTCACATACGGGACCTATAGACCCACACAGAGACCCGTAGATTCACATAGAGACCTATAGACCCACACAGAGACCCGTAGACTCACATAGAGACCTATAGACCCACACAGAGACCCGTAGACTCACATAGAGACCTATAGACCCACACAGAGACCCGTAGACTCACATAGAGACCTATAGACCCACACAGAGACCCGTAGACTCACATAAAGACCTATAAACCCACACAGAGACCTGTTGACTCACATAGAGACCTATAGACCCACACGGAAACCCATAGACTGACATAGTAACCTATAAACCCACACAGAGACCCGTAGACTCACATAGAGACCTATATACCCACACAGAGACCCGTAGACTCACATAGAGACCTATAGACCCGCACAGAGACCCGTAGACTCACATAGAGACCTATATACCCACACAGAGACCCGTAGACTCACATAGAGACCTATAGACCCGCACAGAGACCCGTAGACTCACATAAAGACCTATAAACCCACACAGAGACCCGTAGACTGACATAGAGACCTATAAACCCACATAGAGACCCGTAGACTCACATAAAGACCGATAGTTAAAAGAGTCGGCCGGCGAGCGCTTCGTCTGTCTCGCAAGACGCAAGAGGCAGAAGCGGCAGAGGGTTCGTGATCGTGTTGTCTAAAGGTGACCCCCACCGGCTCAAGATGCTGTACAGATACACTAACCCGTAGACTCACATAGAGACCTATAGACTCACACAGAAACCTGTAGACTGACAGAGACCTATAAACCCCCACAGAGACCCGTAGACTCACAGCCACGTAGAGACCCGTAGACTCACATAGGAGACCTATAAACCCACACAGAGACCCGTATACTCACGGCCACACAGAAACCCGTAGACTCCCATAGAAACCTATAGACCCACATAGAGACCCATAAACTCACACCCGTGCAGAGACCCATAGCCTCTAAGACTCACAGACCCAGATAGAAATCCATAGACTCGCATAGATACCCATAGACCCGTCGAGACCCACAGACTCACATAGAGACCCACAAGCCTACCTCGAGATCCAGACTCACATAGATACCCACAGACTCACATAGAGACCTACAGACCCACATCGAAATCCATAGACTCGCATAGATACCCATAGACCCATCGAGACCCACAGATAAAGTACCAATAAAATGCAACACAGTGTGGATTAAAGATAACATCTAATGGGACCGCATCTGAAAGCGCTGCACAGAAACAGCGCTATGACAGGATCATGGTTGGCCTCAAGTTGAACGTATGATTCTGGGCACCCCGGTTTCCTCCCACGCGTATAATAGATACTCGTCAGTAATTGCCTAAGAAAAAAACATCTTAATAATACATTCATAATCAACGTTTTTGGGTTTAGATCGCGTTATTTATAAATGTGTCGTAACCCTCCACCACCCGACACGGCCAATCAGTAAAAAAGTGTCACGTTGACAAAAGACAAATAGTTCACTGCTTTAGCCCAACGGTGTGTTGAAGCGTGAAACCACAACATTTACAATTTGAGTACGACGTTTCACATATGGGAATTGCTGGATGATGCTGGATGCAATTACCAGCGAAACGTCGTACGACTCAAATTGTAAATTGTTGTGGTTTCACGCTTCAACACACCGGTGGGCTAAAGCAGTGAACTATTTGTCTTTTGTCAACGTGACACTTTTTTACTGATTGGCCGTGTCGGGTGGTGGAGGGTTACGACACATTTATAAATAACGCGATCTAAACCCAAAAACGTTGATTATGAATAATATTGGTCGCGAAAGCCTGCTACGTGTTAAACAAATCTTAATAATACATCTTACTGTCTGCGCGCCTCTTGCGTTTTGCGGATTGCGTAGCGGCGTGATTGCGCGAATGACGCTGCAATGGGGGGGGTCCCGATGTACGTCGTCACGATGCACGCTGTCTCGCGCTCACGTCGCAGACTTTTTTGAGGAACGCAACGTAACGTTTCCCCCGCAATATATCAGTTCAGCTGGAGACGAGTCGAAAACACTGTGCGTCGTGTGGGGTGCTTTAGCGGTTAGCGCGCTACGCTACGCTGCACTACGAGCCCGGCAAGCCGACTTCGATTCCCGCTCATGGTCAATGCCAGTGACGTTGATCTTTTTCGATTATCGTTTTCTACTCGGCTCAGCTGAACTTGGCTCTGGGGGGGGGGGGGGGGGGGGTGTATAGAAGTACCGTACAACTCGCGCTGTCCAACTCGCGTACGTAGCTATGAGCGCTCATTTTCATCGACGCAGACTATTCTCGTAAAATATTGTCGTAACCCTTCAACACAACTCACCCGCTTCCTCAAGGTAAGATCATACAAATGATATCATAGTTGCAGATAAAAATTTTCAAAAATTCTGTTTAAGATCCTGTGCTTTTTTTTACACAAAATGGTTTTCTGTTTGGGTTATTGCTTAAACATGTCACGAATACGTTTTATATTTAAAACAGGAAAACTTTTAAAGTGTACAGGGCTGCTTCGAAACGCTCATAAAAATGTTTTTTAATGAAATGTAAATGCTGTTTAAAGGTTCTTGAACTCAGAATTGGTTATAAATGTGTACATTGTGTTGTACACGTACAGTACCTGGTTTTCTGTACATGTAAAGTACTATTTTGGTTGCTCGGTATAAAACACAACATTTCCCCAAGTTGCAGTCCCTATCCCGACCTCATTCCATTGTTTCTTACGGGAGAAACTGTCCTGCTTTGCGTTGTATAGGCAATGCTTACGCTCCTACGGTCCCTAACCCCACCTCACCCCAATTAACATGTAGTAGTATTCCTATGGGGGAAAAGTCCCCGTTATACATCGTTTCGTTATAAGTCACAACTTTCCGATCCCCAACCACAAAGTATACCGGGGACCCCCTGTACTACTTACCAACCTCATTATTACAAGTGATAGGTAAATGACAAGCATATGGCAATCGCATGACTATCAGCCCTATGTTAAGCGCCATGGGGCCCTCTTAAGGCCTATGATAATGAGGCCTCCTTAAGGCCTATGATAATGGGGCCTACTTAAGGCCTATGATAATGGGGCCCACTTAAGGCCTATGATAATAGAGCCCACTTAAGGCCTATGATAATGAGGCCTACTTAAGGCCTATGATAATGAGGCCTACTTAAGGCCTATGATAATGGAGCCTACTTAAGGCCTATGATAATGGAGCCCACTTAAGGCCTATGATAATGGAGCCTACTTAAGGCCTATGATAATGGGGCCTACTTAAAGCTTATGACCATGGGACCTGAGCGAGCGCCTCACCTGCACTAATCTGTGTGTAGATGAGAGGCCCGTGAAGGGCCTACTTAAGGCTTCTGACCACGGGGCCTACTTGAGGCTTCTGACCACGGGGCCTACTTGAGGCTTCTGACCACGGGGCCTACTTGAGGCTTCTGACCACGGGGCCTACTTAAGGCTTCTGACCACGGGGCCTGCTTAAGGCTTCTGACCACGGGGCCTACTCAAGACTTCTGACAACGGGGCCTACTTAAGGCTTCTGACCACGGGGCCTACTTAAGGCTTCTGACCACGGGGCCTGCTTAAGGCTTCTGACCACGGGGCCTGCTTAAGGCTTCTGACCACAGGGCCTACTTAAGGCTTCTGACCACGGGGCCTACTTAAGGCTTCTGACCACGGGACCTACTTAAGGCTTCTGACCACGGGGCCTGCTTAAGGCTTCTGACCACGGGGCCTGCTTAAGGCTTCTGACCACGGGGCCTACTTAAGGCTTCTGTCCACGGGGCCTACTTGAGGCTTCTGTCCACGGGGCCTACTTGAGGCTTCTGACCACGGGGCCTACTTGAGGCTTCTGACCACGGGGCCTACTTAAGGCTTCTGACCACGGGGCCTGCTTAAGGCTTCTGACCACGGGGCCTGCTTAAGGCTTCTGACCACGGGGCCTGCTTAAGGCTTCTGTCCACGGGGCCTACTTAAGGCTTCTGACCACGGGGCCTACTTAAGGCTTCTCTCCACGGGGCCTACTTAAGGCTTCTGACCACGGGGCCTACTTAAGGCTTCTGACCACGGGGCCTACTTAAGGCTTCTGTCCACGGGGCCTACTTAAGGCTTCTGTCCACGGGGCCTACTTAAGGCTTCTGTCCACGGGGCCTACTTAAGGCTTCTCTCCACGGGGCCTACTTAAGGCTTCTGACCACGGGGCCTGCTCTAGCGCCGCGCTAATCTGCAGTGCGGGCCACAGCGGCGGCGGTGGCAGCGGTGGCAGTGACGGCGGCGCTGTGTCGAGGCGTCCCGTCTGTACCGTAGGGAGAGCACCTTCTGGAAGCGCCGCGCGGCCGGCAGCAGCACCATGGCGGTGAGCGTCACCAGCCCCAGCGCCGCCCCGGCCGCGATGCCCACCGCGTTCTGCGTCGTCATCCGGACGTCGCAGCGAGCTCCCATGAACCAGTAATGGTCGCCGATCGGGCAGCTGCCGAGAAAGAGAGAGGAAGGAAGGAGAGGAGGGTTAGAGAGCGAGAGGAGAAGAGAGAGAGAGCGGGAGAACGACGACGGGGAACGGCCGGGAGATAGGGAGCCTACGCGCGCCAAGTGAACTTATTGTCAGCAAAAGTCCCGGCGTGGCTGTGATTAACTTCCTCCTCTTCTTGGTTCTTTCGGTAAAGTCACGTAGAATGGAAACAATAAAATAATAAAAATAAAACATAATAAAATAATTCTCACGACGTTTCGGCCACAACGCAAGCAGCCGTCATCAGGTGAAGACCAGGTCTGTTTCCATTCTACGTGACTTTACCGAAAGAACCAAGAAGATGAATCCCTGCAGTCACGAAAGCTTTAAATCGAAATTTAACTTCCTCCTGTCTAGCCCCAGAAAGAGCGGTGATAACCCAAGCGGCCATCTCCTCCCCCCCGACCTCCCTCTCACGAGAGGTTAGATTTAACCCCCCCAAAAAAGAACTCTATTATGGATATCGGTCGCGAAAGACCTACGTGGTAAACCATCTTTTTGTTTTGCTTGTTAATAAAACAAACCCGCAGTATTTAACTGGGGGGCGGCCACTAGGCTTGGAACCGCACGAACTTGTGCATAAAAGCACCTTGTGTATGGGCACCGCGGTTGCTAGGAGATGTTAACTACCTCGCCTGGTATGCAGGAGGTCGTGGGTTCGATCCCGACCCTGACGCCTGCTGCTGTATATTTGGAGTTTGCGTGTCTCTCTCTCTCATCATCATCACGGTGGCTAGGAGATGTTAACTACCTCGCCTGGTCTACAGGAGGTCGTGGGTTCGATCCCGACCCTGACGCCTGCTGCTGTATATTTGGAGTGTGCATGTTCTCCCCGTGGTCGCGTGTGGATTTTTCTCTCCGGGTCCTCCGTTTTTTTTCCCCTCCACATTTAGAATCGACGTCACGCGTTTAACGTATTTGTCTGCTGCTATAAATTTCCACACTGCAACGACGACAAGCCACTTCGGCAAAAGAGCTGCTACATCGCAGCTCAGTGGGACCTCACCTGCAGGCAAAATAACAAAAATAGGTTCGTATACGAGTGGCCAGAAGCGGCCTAGCGGTGTCCTGTTTGGTGTTAGAACATCTTAACACAACTCCTGTTTTATTGCCAGAAAGGGTAAAATCTATCCTTATATTTTGATACTGCTGTAATAAAGGTCGTGGAAGCGACTTCTGGAATCCGGTCTTTATTTGTCTTTCGTTCACAACACTCCCATCTTACTCCTTCACGCTGCTGACAGACAGCGTGAGAGGGAGAGAGAGAGACACGCGCGGTCACGTGGCAGCCTGGACCACGTGGCAGCCTGGACCACGTGGCAGCCTGGACCACGTGGCAGCCTGGACCCCGCTCTCGCGTGGCCTCACCCTCCGTTCGTTCCAGATCTGACCACGTGTTGTCCATCTCCACCCCTTTAAATACCCGGGTCACGTGGTACCTTTCCACCAATCCTGGTTAACCTCCATGGAATCTTCTAGACTCCATTGTACGATCCCAGGACCGCGTCCCTGACTCGTCTCCCCATTGGCTGTGGCTAAAGCCAGCAGATCCAATTCTCTACTTACAGCTGTCCCCTTCCCATTACGTCAGGGCCACGCCCCTAGGCTACCCCCCATTGGCTATGGGCCAGGACCGTTAGAGCCAATCATCGTGACGAGTTGTGATCCATCAGCAACCCGGATATAACCTCACATGACACTGGCAAGGGAGGTCCCATGATGTAGTCGCTCACCCCGAGCTCTCAATGTCCTGAGAGTGGCACTGTCCTTGTGTTGTTCGCCTTGTGGCGTCTAACACCGTTTGAGACGAGGCTCTAAAGAAAGCTGTCTCTGGTGTGGACCAATCAGTTTCAAAGACAATCCATCATATACTACCAGAGCGTGTTTTTGTGTTTGCATGTTCACCACAAGTACGTGCGGTTAATGCGGTAACATGATTCCTTGCAAAAAGGTTTCTATTTGGTGTTTGAACATCTTACCGCATGTATTATCGCCCGAAAGGGTAAAACCAATTATCATATTTTGACACTTGCAAAGAAAGGTCCCGTGATGTTGGCACGTTCTGTTTACGTGACAAACCCCTCACTAATTGGCTGTGTCGGGTGGTGGCGGGTTTTAACTACACATTTATAGCTACGCGATCTAACCCAAAAAACCCTCTCTCATGGATACGATCGTTGAGTTTAGGAAGGTATTTTATATCGTTGTAGATTACCGTACGAATTTAAACATTTCTATCCTAGTTTTTTCGTGACGTATTGGCAAATTCGCTCGCCAATGACCCTCACGTACGATATCATTGCACACGTTGATAAACCACCTCGCTCACGTGACCCACCCTGGGGACATGGTGACGTAGTCTCCAGGGGTCAGCACAACTACCGTGACTGGAGGCCTTGCTCACAGCTGTCCAGCAGGAAGCTGTAAACATTCCTTCCCTTTGTTAATGCTACCCCTATCCCCTCCCTTTGATGCTGCTAATCCTGCATAATGCACGGGCATAATATGACTTTAAACCCCCCGCCCACCTCCTACGCATTTCACAAGTAGTACTAATCCCATATCTGCATTTCCCATAAATATGCTAAATTCCTCTTGATATGCAAATTCTTTTGTCAAGGCGCTCTTCCCCCTCCATCCCAGCTTAAATATACGCTCCAAGCCTGGGGTGTTTCATTCAGACTCTGTCTTCTCGACAGACCTGTTCTTCACCTGAGGACGGCTGCTTGCGTTGTGGCCGAAACGTCGTGAGAATTATTTTATAATGTTTTATTTTTATTATTTTATTATTTCCATTCTACGTGACTTTACCGAGAGAACCAAGAAGATGTAAAGCTTTTTTTCACAGATGTCTAGTAGTTATCTGGTCACCTTTGGCCTCATCGTGTCGAATAGGTCAAAGGTTAGAGGTCATCCGTAGCTTGTCGTCTTTACCCCGGGACCTCCACGTGGCCTCAAAGTGCACCTAGCCTGGCACGGACGCTGTGGTGACGGCACCGCCACTTGGTAGTGAATGGCGGTTGTCATTGTATGAGAGAGTGGTTGAGTGGTTGAGTGGTTGAGTGGCTGAGTGGTTGAGTGGTTGAGTGGCTGAGTGGTTGAGTGGCTGAGTGGTTGAGTGGCTGAGTGGTTGAGTGGGTGTGAGTGGTTGAGTGCTGAGTGGGTTGAGTGGTTTGAGTGTGCTGAGTGGTTGGAGTGGCTGAGTGGTTGAGTGGTTGAAGTGGCTGAGTGGCTGAGTGGTTGAGTGGTTGAGTGGCTGAGTGGTTGAGTGGTGAGTGGCTGAGTGGTTGAGTGGCTGAGTGGTTGAGTGGTTGATTGTTGAGTGGCTGAGTGGTTGAGTGGTTGAGTGGTTGAGTGGCTGAGTTGGTTGAGTGGCTGAGTGGTTGAGTGGTGAAGTGGTTGAGTGGCTGAGTGGTTGAGTGGTTGAGTGGCTGAGTGGTTGAGTGGCTGAGTGGTTGAGTGGTTGAGTGGTTTGAGTGGCTTGAGTGGTTGAGTGGCTGAGTGGTTGAGTGCTGAGTGGTTGAGTGGTTGAGTGGTTGAGTGGCTGAGTGGCTGAGTGGTTGAGTGGCTGAGTGGTTGAGTGGCTGATTGTTGAGTGGTTGAGTGGCTGAGTGGTTGAGTGGCTGAGTGGTTGAGGTGGTGAGTGGCTGAGTGGCTGAGTGGTTGAGTGGTTGAGTGGCTGAGTGGTTGAGTGGTTGAGTGGTTGAGTGGCTGAGTGGCTGAGTGGTTGAGTGGTTGAGTGGCTGAGTGGCTGAGTGGTTGAGTAGTTGAGTGGTTGAGTGGCTGAGTGGCTGAGTGGTTGAGTGGTTGAGTGGTTGAGTGGTTGAGAGTGGTTGAGTGGCTGAGTGGTTGAGTGGTTGAGTGGTTGAGTGGCTGAGTGGTTGAGTGGTTGAGTGGCTGAGTGGTTGAGTGGCTGAGTGGTTGAGTGGTTGAGTGGCTGAGTGGTTGAGTGGCTGAGTGGTTGAGTGGTTGAGTGGTTGAGTGGGCTGAGTGGTTGAGTGGTTGAGTGGTTGAGTGGCTGAGTGGTTGAGTGGCTGAGTGGTTGAGTGGTTGAGTGGTTGAGTGGTTGAGTGGCTGAGTGGTTGAGTGGCTGAGTGGCTGAGTGGCTGAGTGGTTGAGTGGTTGAGTGGTTGAGTGGCTGAGTGGTTGAGTGGCTGAGTGGTTGAGTGGTTGAGTGGTTGAGTGGCTGAGTGGTTGAGTGGCTGAGTGGTTGAGTGGTTGAGTGGTTGAGTGGCTGAGTGGTTGAGTGGTTGAGTGGCTGAGTGGTTGAGTGGTTGAGTGGCTGAGTGGTTGAGTGGCTGAGTGGTTGAGTGGCTGAGTGGTTGAGTGGTTGAGTGCTGAGTGGTGAGTGGTTGAGTGGTTGATGGCTGAGGGTTGAGTGGTTGAGAGTGGTTGAGTGGTTGAGTGGTTGAGTGGCTGAGTGGTTGAGTGGTTGGGTGGTTGAGTGGTTGAGTGGCTGAGTGGCTGAGTGGCTGAGTGGTTGAGTGGCTGAGTGGTTGAGTGGTTGAGTGGTTGAGAGTGGTTGAGTGGTTGAGTGGTTGAGAGTGGCTGAGTGGTTGAGTGGTTGAGTGGCTGAGTGGTTGAGTGGTTGAGTGGCTGAGTGGTTGAGTGGTTGAGTGGTTGAGTGGTTGAGTGGTTGAGTGGCTGAGTGGCTGAGTGGTTGAGTGGTTGAGTGGTTGAGTGGCTGAGTGGTTGAGTGGCTGAGTGGTTGAGTGGTTGAGTGGCTGAGTGGCTGAGTGGTTGAGTGGTTGAGTGGTTGAGAGTGGCTGAGTGGTTGAGTGGCTGAGTGGTTGAGTGGTTGAGTGGTTGAGTGGCTGAGTGGCTGAGTGGTTGAGTGGCTGAGTGGCTGAGTGGTTGAGTGGTTGAGTGGCTGAGTGGCTGAGTGGCTGAGTGGTTGAGTGGTTGAGTGGCTGAGTGGTTGAGTGGTTGAGTGGCTGAGTGGTTGAGTGGCTGAGTGGTTG